TTTTTTTTACCGTGTTAGGAAGCGAAAAAGTGTCGTGCGCGAATTACAGTCGCGTGAGCCACGGCGATTGTCCAACGCAGAAAAATTACAGCGACACGCGACGAAATAAATGAACTTACCGAGAAATCCGGTTGAGGCTTCGACTCTGTCAACCGACGGAGCAAGGTGGTTGCGTTAGTTTTTCTTTCGCAAATGGACAGAGTGGTCCGCGCACGGGGACAGATAAAAAGTAAGAGAAGCACGCCGTAGAAAATCGTTGGCTAATCAATCGATCCTACGACGAAACTTGACGCGAACAAATGAATCCGAACTCGATTTTGTTTGTACGGACAATGTTTATTCATGCATGCTTGCGTTACAAAAAAAAAAAAAAAAAATGCGAGTCCTTTAATTCGTTTTGTTCTTATTATCGTTGGTATGTAGTCGATTAACATCTTCGGTGGAAGCACTGCTTGATCAGATAGGCGTGGTTGGATATAAACTACAGACCGTTGCTCGTCGAAGCTGGGTACCTATGAACCCTAACCCGAAACGGATAATTCATAGATATTAATAAATTTCTGCAATTAGTTCCCGACACGGTGTAATCGATCCCTTGCGTTCAGAGATAAATCATTGGCCTGCCTCGCTACCTTTTATCCTGAATCGTTGAACGTTTTAATAATCGTTACCAATCGATATCTTCGAAACGTTCCTCCGATGCTGTTGGTGAATCGTTCACGATCTCACGCGTGACTAACAAGTAAGTCGAGAGTTCTTGTAAGATAGTAACTAACTGTAAGAGAGAGTTCACGTCTCGCTCAAAGTTCAACTCGTCTACGTTCCACGCTATTTCAGTACGACAAATTAAGAAATCTCGCACCCTACCGAGCGACGCTAATAGATCCTCGTCAACAACTCTCCCAATAACGGACGTTGAAACGCACGAGGACGAGGAATTCGCTCGTGCTCATTGACCTAATCAAGACCACGTAATCCAAGCCAGTTGGCGTCAATTTCCTGAAAATTCGACCGCGCGCAACGCAGTTATCCTCAAACTTAATATAACCACGGCGATACACTTTAGCCAGCTGCTCTCTGTACGAGAATCGGGGCGGTTTAAATCGCGGGACAGCTTCTCGCGTGTCGGTCCCCACCGGCTTTAATCCCCTAGCTGCTGCAGAACCGGGAAGGGGGATGATACCCGAATATACGGAAGGTCCGAGGGTTTCTCTCGCCCCTATCTCCGGAAATCTGCGCAGTTCGCGCGTGAGATAAGCGCGTAAAGGGACGAATCCAAGAGAGGGTAGGTGTCGCGGCCGTCCGTTAAACGAACAGCCACGAGCGTGCCACGGCTAACCAAATAATATCGCTCACAGCCGGTGAGCGTGTTTAGCATAATTCGATGATCCTCCAGTACCGTCCCCGGCTTATACAATTTATCGCCGGGACCGTTTTCACCTTTGAAACGATCCACCGTGTCGGCCAAATACACCAACTTTCAGGACATTAGGCGCTTTATTACGCGATAGAACCAGCCACCAAAAGCGGCATAGATAATATATCGTCGCTCGCGGGGATCGAGGCCCCCTTGATGCAAGATGCCGGGGATAATGTATGCCAAATGCTGCCTCCGCGCGAGGGGCGGGGAGTCGCGCGGGTTATTTATTGATTTATGCGAATAATCACGTTCGAAACCGCCTTGTTGAGCGTTAAGGAATTCTTTCTTTCCTTTTCTTTTCGTCGGCCAAGTACGTTCCTCTTTCGCTGTCCCGGTATTGTCCTCCTTGTCCAGCCTCGTCGGTTCTCTTTCAGGTAAACGCAAATAAATTACGGTTTACTGCCTGGTTCGCGGCGTGTGAGGCCTGCTCGCGAGGCGAGCAAGTAAAAGAAGCAAAGCAAACAGGGCAAAGGGAGAGGAAGGAGCTGAATGGCGAGAGGCAAATTGAAGAGAGTCGCGCGTTTCGACTTCTCGTTTTGGAATTATTAACGCTTGTCGCCTTGTATCGGCTACGTCGTTTCCTGGTCGCGTGTGTACATTATCGTTCCTTTGTCACATCCTCTGCCTTTCCTTCTATCGCACGAATATTCGCAAATTTGTCGAACGACATTTTCATGGATCTTTTGACACTTAGTTTCGTTTTCTCGTATATCTACAAGTCTGAAGAATTTCTTCGTTATTATTTCGCGTAATAACCAAATTTGACGAGTGTGGTATTCAGACGAGAAATTTAATAATCGCTTTTGTGGAACATCATTTTCATTTCGCTCAGGTAAACTCTGACGAAATTAGCCACTGTGCGCCATTCCTTCGCATTTTGCTGCGTTTCTTACGTTTCCCCTTTGTTCGACCGCGTTCCACGCGCGTACGAATTACGCTCGGTGGTTTGCTTCGCTCCACGACGCCCCGAAACGAGGAAGCGGCCTCGAAACGACTCGAAAATAATCGTTTGCCCCACGGCGGAAGCGTCTATGGCGCGAGGAATTCGACGAGGGAGGGGCTGGATCGCGTCGTTCACGGACGCATTGAGCGCGATATCACGTCGTGAGCTTTCTTTCCAGCGTTCAGATACACCGACGAAGGAAACATCCGGCGAGTGTCACGTCTCTCGCGTGACGTGGCGTTCGTCGAGAGCCGCTGTAATCAGCACGTTGTCCGAGTTGACACCTCTAATGAGCCTTTTACATCTCGGACTCGCGCGCGCCACGAATTTAATAATATATTCGAACACGTCTCGAACACTCGTTTACGTACGTACAAAAAGAAGAAGAAGAAAAAAAAAAGAGTGAAAGTCGTCGGCGGTATGCGCGATACAGCGGGCCGCCATTATACCGGTGTGTGTAAATGTCAATCGTTAGCGAACAAGATAGGCGAGAGTAGCGTTACGTACAGACGAAAAAGAACAATCTTTCTGTCTGTTCCTCTCCTTGATTGAAACGTCCTATCGTTAAGTTAACTTGGAGCCTCGATATATTCCAATAGCCAAACACCCAAGTCTTCTTCAAATCTACGTGCAGGAAATATAACATTCTTCGTTTAAACCCTGCCCACGTTGTTCTAATAAATTTTCCAATTACAGATAATCATCGGTGTTCCGGTATCCTGGACTATCGTCGCTCGAGCGAACGGCAAACGGTAGCAAACGGTCCTCTGTCGCCCGGTTAATCCTCCGGGGTTGGAAGGAAACGGGGCACGGCGATACGTCTCACAGCGATAACGAGGGTCAAGGAGCGGCATGAAAAACAGACCGATGGTGTACGGAGGGTTGTCACAGACAGGTAACGCTATTACGCGTATCTGCTTTACGCGCGTGTCCGATCCCCCGTGTTGGCCTGGCCTGGGGTGGCGTTCCTGCGAGTTCTGTTCGTCGCAGCCCCCGTGCGGACGGCGCTCCACGGACGTTGTCGTTGGTGAAACCCACGTAGAACCGCGTGGAAAAAGTATCGCGCGGATAGGCACGGTAGCGGGGTATAACCGAAGGGTACGAGTCGGCGTTGCGAGTAAGTATCGGTTGCACGTTAGGTACGGAGGGGCTTCCCTCTGGCTGGGTTCGACTCGGCTCACTCGGCTGTTCTAGACTTTCTCTCTCGACCACCCTTGCTTTCGTGCCTTGTGCCTTTTTACGTGTCTTATGCCATGGCTCATGCCTTGCGCGCCTACCGCGCGGGAAATGTGCTTCCCTTTTTGCGGCAAATGACCGTCCGCCAAAAGGATTTTTCTCGAGTTTTTCGCGATAAAGTAGTTTTCTTTTCTTCCCCCTTCATCGCTTCATCCGTAAGAAACGCGATCTAGTTGCCGATGCGTGTTCGAAGTCCATCGATTCGATAGGGGAAATTACTGGAGACTTTCTGTACGTACGAGTAATGCCCTTTCGTGGCTCGATGTCGAGGATTCGCGCGATTATTCAGGTGATTGTTTTACAAGGAAATTAGTAGCTGGATTTAGCTCGTAGTTGAAACCGGGCCCGGTTTTTGTTGGGTGGAAACGACGTTGCTGAAGACTCTTTGCGCGCGGAACGCTCGTTTTCTTGCCGCTGCTGTTATTCTGTAATGCTGTGTAGTTTGCGGACTTGTTTCTTCTTTTTCTCTTTTCTTCTCTTCTTTCCATTTGGTCAATGGAAATTTGATGCAAAGTATCTGGTATTAATATCTTGAAAATCGCGAGCAACTTTCCTGGTTTGTTTATCAGTCCAGGATGCAGCTAATTATCTTCTCTGGAGTTTACTCAATCTCGTTCGCGAATGAAATTGTAGGACAGGGAGTTAAAATTTCATTAACGAACAGTGCAACCATAAACGTGAGACGATCAACTTTTTGTTTAATTAATTTCACTGCGCGTACGCGGTGAATGTCTAATTTTCGTAAAGTCGTGAGGCTCGATTCATCGCGAGACGATAGAAGTTTCGCGTAATTTTCTGCAGGTACTTTTCAACGAGCGCTTCCGAACGATTCGCGCGATGGTATGTTTCTCTTCGAAAAATAGAAATAATCTGTTTCGTATGGAACATTGACGGACGCAAACATACGACACCTAATTTGAAAGAACAATGCAACGAGACGTAAAAGACCAACGACCGGTTCGCAATACGTCGCAAAAAGGAGCGGAGAAAGAGAGAAAGCGGCCAAGGAATCACCGGGCAATCATAAGCTTATTAGAAGCGAAGTTAGTTACACGCCGGCCATAAATCAATCAGCGTTGACACGCTGAAGGGGAACGTGGCGTGTCGCGCGAGACGTTTTCGAAGGAATTCGCGGCCGGAGTCTGGCTCGTAGCGCTAATCCGGCCAGACGAGAAAAACAATTTATCGTGCGTAGACGGAGGGGCCGGTCTCTCCGTGGTAATTCCGCGGCGCGTCGTCAAGGCAAAATCGACGACATCGCTGACGCGCAAAGAGAATCGGGCAGCGAGGTGAAGTTAATGAAATGCAAACGAGCGCCGGAAGCGGCCGGTTATGCGGCGGGGAGGTTTGCGTAAAGCGGCGCCACGCCGGTAACAAGCGCAAAATAAACGCGCGGACAAATACGCGGCCTACCGCGAATAAAATAGTTCTGCTGGCCCGGTTGACGCGTTACCAAGAGTCGAGTCCACTGTGGGTGGAGAGGCGGAGGTGGGGCAGCGGTGACGGAGAAACGGAAGCCGGAGAATCGCGGGAGAAAATTAATAGGTGGATATTTATTAAATCGGACGGTGGACCGTGGTTTCCCTGCGAAACCGGTGAAATCGGTATTTGTCCATTGTCTGGCCGATTTAATTGCAAACATCAATATGTTTTATTTGTCGTCTAACCCTCTTTCCCGTGCTCCCTTCTGCCTCTTTCCTCCTCGTCGTTCGCGTTCGATCAGCGATCGGTTCTCTGTTACTCCGTCGGCGTTCGAGCCGGACTACGTACGCGGCCTCCTCGGTGATTTTTCTTTTTTCTTCTTTTTTTTTTCTCTTTTTTCTTTTTCCTTCTTTTTTCGACCAGCCTCCTGCCAACCGTTACCCCTCCCCTGTAAATGTACCACTCTTTTTCGACCGGGTATAACCGGTCGTTCGAAAATTTAGCGCGGCTGTTTGGCCCGGTCAAACATTTGTCCACGCGTTTGGTCGTCGTATTCTCTCGGCCAAGAGAGCGAATACGGGTTTTCGGTTCGCCGCTGGTTAAACTAATAAATCCGCATTGCCGCCGTTATTATTTCCCCGATTTGCTTTATTTCCTCGCTCGTTGCAGTTCTTTTTGCCGTGGCTTCGCTTTGCGCGTGTTTCCGCCCCGCAATTTCCCCTCTCTCTTCGTTCTTATTGTTCCTCCCCTCGTATTTGCGCGAAATATTGGACGAGAATCGCGCGATTTTTCTTGCCGACGTTGACTCGTTCGAATTTGCTGTTTCCGCGTGAAACGTATCTCGATTGCGATAAATGGCGTTTGAAATAAAGTATCTCGCGAGTTGCATCGCGAGAGCCGTGTTTATTTATCGTTTCAGCGACGCCGACGATTTCCATCGGTTAATACCGCTATTTTGTAGTTTAATTAAATTTTCAACCAACCTCTCTCTCTTTCTCTCTTCTCGTCCTACTTTTCGCTCGCCTCGTTGTAAAGATTCCCTTGTTACCGAGCAGCTCTTCTCAGCTGCTGCGAAATACCTACCCTAGTCACGAAGACGATCTTTTGTAGCTTTCTATCCTTCATAATTAATTATTCAATTTACTTTGCCCAATGGATGTTTGCACGCTTATTTGTAACTCCGGCGAGTTTGTCCCGACTTTCGTGTATTGCGAATATTTTCGTCGGAACTTGGTTTGCTTGCCAAGAAATCCAGCGAAAGTAGAATGAATGCCAAGGAAACCGCCGAGACCAAACATGTTCATCAGCGAACTCTTCGTTTCATGAAAATAAAGAAAAGAAAAACCGGATAAAGAGAAACTACAATTTAATTAGTTGTTTACAAAAATCACTCTGCCGTCCGTCGTTCAGTTTAAAGGGCAATAAAAATGTATGAAAAGAAATGCACGATAAAATCGACGATAAAAACCTGCCTAACAACGTACGTACGCACACTGTCGGGGGAAAATTTCTCCTTCTCGATATATATATATATGTTACGAAATACATATTTCTCCGAGTAATAAGCGCCGTAGACGTCGATCCAAACGAATTTACGATTGTATTCGAAGCGATCGGAACTCGCAGCACGCGTAACGAGCATGGTTTTAACTTTTCGTTCGGTTTTCCTTTCGATCGCGAAACCGGAGGTGCAGTATCGCGGTCGCTATACCACAAGCGTCGCTATCGATTTTATAACGCAGCTTTCCCTCCGGTTGATTTCGGTCGATGTACCCCGGTGAAAAAAAAAAAAAAAAAATCGCAGAAACAACAGAATCCGAACGCGACGCGTACTCTACTTCGCGCACTGCACGCTTTTCACTCTTCGAGGCTAATTACACTTGCTACACGCCCGACGAGATTGTTTCGCGGCCGTGAATAATGCACAAGGGGAGGGCCTGCCGCGTAAATTGGGGGACACGCCGGATTAGGTATTAACGAGGGAATTTAAAAAGAGACTGGCAGATTTAAACGCACTCCGCCGCCATGCAATTCTAATGGGCAGGCGTAATTGGCGAAATAGTAATTAACTCTTTGATCGTGGAACTCATTTTTTTTTTTCTGCCACGTCAAAGCGCGACGCGTACAGCTCGGCTCGCGAAAGTATTTCCCATGCGGTCGTTATTTTCTAGATTGGTTTCGAACGTCACCAGTGTGATCGCGTCTCGTTGTACAATTGGCACGATTATAATGATAGTACCTTTTTTTTGATCGAACGGTCATCGAGCTGCAATACTAGGTGTAAAAATGAGAAGAAGGAAAATACCGAAAGAACATTGGAGAAGAATTAATCAGTTTAGTAATTTTGGCATGTTTAAAACGTTTCAAAGAACGCGCACATTTCTCTTCTATCTGACTATTGTACGAACTTTTTTTCACGTGATTAATCGTCCCTCGGAGGTCTACGTACCTTGTGTCATAACGGAATTCTAGTACGACTAGAGTAGTCCGCTCTAGAAAAAGAACTAAATGGAACGTCTCGAACGACGTTGTTGTGACGTAAGGAAAGAGCGTATCACGTCGGCACGTTTAATGTCATCGATTGGCCATAAAAGTCACGAACCACTAGTGCCAATAACAGCAGGTTACAGCGCCACGACTCGAAAGTATGGAACGACGCATTCCGGTTTTAAGACGCTTGGAAACTCGCAGCTGACGCGCGCTTCGGTGCTGCACGCGTGCATTTTTCCACGTCGAACGATACTCGATTACGCGAGAAAACTCCGGTGTAGGGACGTCGGAGGGACAGTGACAGGTGGTTCGTCGGCTGATCTATCAGATTTTCTTGCACGACCGACGTGTAATTTTCACGGTAATTTCCTACGATTACACCTACCGATACCTTTCACTCCTACACGAGAGAGTTGCTCATACACCCTCGCCGATACACCATCGCGCCGTGATCCGCCACGAAGGCTGTAAAATCATGCGATTGATCGTGTCCCCGGATCGATCGGCGATCGACTCGTCCGACTCGTTCGAGCCGCGTCGATTTTAAAACAGCCGTGAATCTTTAACGATCTTTCGAACACCCGAGCCGGATTAGAATAGAAAGGGTTGTTAATGGGTATTGGAAAGCGGGTACGCTGTACGGTAGGATTCATCTCTGTCACGTTCGACGGGGCAATTGGATGGCTGTTAACGATCGGCAAAAAACGAGAGTGCAGGATTTGTCACGCCCCAGTCGCGTCGTTTCCG